AGGTATCCCTCGCCGGGATTGCCCGGATCGCTGCTGACAGATCGCGGAGCAAGTGTGAGCGGTCTTCCTTGTTCTGCTGAGGAGACTTCTTAGAAGACCACGCATGTTGATAGACCGCAAAGACATGCACGCGGGCCCCAAGCCACGGGAAAATGACCTGAATGAGCCTGCCGCGGCGTTGCTCTCGCCACCGAATCCGTTTCTTGTTTATCTGAGGAGAGAGGAGAACCATGACACCGTCCGCTCGACTTGTGTCATGAACAGCTGGCTGCGTGGCAGCGCCTTGCTTGGAGCGTTGCCCGGGAGCAGTTTTAGCTTTGGGTGCCCGGGCAGCCCCTTTTGTGGCGGAGCTCACGCAGTGCCAACCCTCAACATCAAACTCTGCTGTTTCACTCCAGTGAGTTTCCTGCAAGACCAGAATGTCGCAGACATACTTGGCCTCCGTGCGAAGCCACGTCTTCACTTCTGCCCATTGTTGCATGCCAAGGTGCCCAGCGTTCCAGAGAGAACACGAAGAGACTTGCTGGCACGACCGCCTCTCGGGCGCGAGCGGAAACTGGCGGAGGGACCTGAAGGAGAAATCGTGGAGCCAGACAGCACGGGGAGGGGAGGAGGGGAGGGCGGGGTGAGTCCACTGCGGCGCAAATGTTCGGGCGTCAACGTACCATTCCGGTACAGGATGCTGTCTTGTGTTCTATGTACCTTATTGCAAGCCTTGCGAAAGGCCTTCTTGCGAATGCTCTCAAAAGAATGCTGGTGCATTGGCGATTGCGCCGTCCGCTAGTTTCGCCGGAAAGAGAGAACTCAAGCCGACTCCCTTCACCCTGCGGAAAGGTGAAAACCACTACCGCTTACCTCATGCCAAGGTTGTATAACTGCAGACAGAGGCCCGGGAATTGGGACCCGGCAGATCACAGCGGCACGCGGCTCCGGGAATAGCTATGGCTCAGAAAGAGGACAGTCCCTTAAGCTTCGCAGAAGGGGGACGTTGCGAGCCTCTAGCGTTGGTACCCAGAGCCTTGTTAGCAAAGCTACACAGCCTGCTGTGATCCGTAGCGGCTACCACAACCACAACCACAACCACAACCACCACCACCACCACCACCACCACCACCATCACAACCGCAACCGCAACGACGACGACGACGACGACAAGGTCAAGGACGACAACAACGACAACAACGCGACAACGACACCGACAAGAGCAGCAGCAGCGGCGGCGTTGGCTCAGCAGTTGCAGCAGCCACAGGCACAGCAACAACCACAAGAACAACAAGAAGAGGAAGAACGAAATCGGTCGAAAAGAGCACGGAAAAATCGAGCGAAAGCCATCAATTCTGGACGAGCAGCTGGTAGTAGACCAGCCCAAAGAATTGTTGGGCGCGGCTCTTGATGTGCCTCAACCTTGAAAGTTCAGCGTAAGTTTTGGCAATGGTTCCGGGCATGGTCGGGCACATCTTATATAAGCTTCACGGACCTTCCCCTGCGACCGAAAAAGCGCCTTAAGCCGAGAGAAGCGCCAGGCAACCATGGGCCGCTTGAAAGCACCCGGTCGAGTTCCCGCTCCTCTGCCTCGCTGATGAACTCCGTGCAATACCTCCAGGAATCGACTTGAGATCCCCCCGACCCCATGCATCAGCTTCGGCCAGGCGGCCACACATGCTAGCACTTTCGCTTAAGTTTTCCACACACAGTGGGTCTTGCCTCAGCCCCTGCGGCAGCTTCTGGGGCAGCTTGAAGCGGTGCCCATACACAGCACGGGGCCTCCGGTTGGGATGCAGACGGTTTGTGAGCACTGAAGGCCACAGAGATGTGCAAAGAAACGAAGAGCGCGGAAAGCCTTTCTTGATCTTACGAGAGTAGGTAGGTAAACGTATAACAGTGACGACTCATGCTGTCACCGAAACATCTCAGCCCCACACTGCGACCATGGAAAGTTCGCCTCAGAGCCGGAAACCGTGGTAGCGAGTGCCAACTGCACCCTAGACAAGCGGGTGGTTGTCAAAAATTATGGTCCCTTTTTGGGTCCCTAATATAGTACGGCACCTAATATTTAGGGTACCCAAAACGGGGCCATAATCTTGACAACTACTCAAGTCTGTGAAGCCCATCATCTCACCAGAACAGGAATCCCGATAACAGAAGACAGCAATACCGGGCAAAATCAAAAGTTCTTTTGGGCAAGGCATCTTGGGACGTGCTCGCGCTAGGGGTGAAGCCAAGCACCGAACCCTGCAGCCATCCCCTCAAACCTCCCCCTCCCGGCCCCTTCCCTCCATTTCCGGTCCCGGTCGCGGCGGCGCAGCTCCCACGCAGGGGCGCAGCCGCAACCTGCAGCTAAAGTTGGATAACTTCGTGCCGGCGATCAAGGGTCGCAAGTTGGCTGTCACCTTGTCCTTTCTGAGACTCTCACAGCCGTCTCCGGTGCCGTTGAGTTTCTTCCCATCGCCTGTGTTCGGATTGCACTGAGGCGACCACGAGAGTCCCTAATGCTGCAGCGGCAGCGGCGAGGCCTTCAACTGCGACACTCACAACATCATCTAGGCTTGAACTCAACTCCGGTGGCAGATTGATTTTTGCTCTCATTCGATAAAGCCTCTCTGGAAAGGCCTCGTTGGGGCCTGGGCCGCGACCATTGCCGCCATTGGCATTCACACAGCATACAGTAGGACTTTTGGGATGACCACGAGACTGCATGAAGGGCTGAAGGTTTCGGATTTTGGAACGTGTACGCCTCGCGGCAGCTGGCATTTCTTGCCACTGTCCACCTTTTGATTTCGGGACTCTGCTGTGCCGTTATCTTGCCGTTCCTAGCACTACATTTCACTACAAGTGCCCCGGCACTTGCGCTGAGAATGTGCTGATGACCATCTAGTGACTCTAGAATCTAGTTGATGAAAGTTCTATATCGCCAGATTAAATTAGCAGATGCCAGCATCAAACGGCTGTGCACGCACGAAGAGTGGGAAACGAGACAGCTGGCTCAAGCTCCGGTTCTCCCACTCTGCAACCAGGAAAATTAGGGTGTTCTGCGTGGCTGGGACCTGTGTACCTGCCTGTCTTGATGACTGATATGGCATCAATGTGAACAAAAGCATCATCAAATTCATGCCTGCGGAATCCCCAGCTACACTACCCAACCTTGCACCCTAGTCTCTGTCCAGAGCAAGAAAGCAACTAGAGATGAGTTCAGCCCTCACAGGCATCCCATTCATATTTTACGCTACGGCTCGGCTAGCACCCAACCCCCTTCGTGAGACAGCTTGATGTCTTAAAGCTGCGCTCTTCTTTTTCAGAGTCGGCATTGTGCTTCCCCCACAAAGCAAACCACGGTGTGGCTGAAGGACATCGTTGAAGCGATCGATCTGCTTATCGTAGAAGTACAACAGGGCGTCGGTCCGTCCGCAGCCACCCCAGGGCAACTAAGGCTCCCCACCCCAGTGCCCAAAGGCCAAACGGCCGCTTGTCGACAATTCCCGCACCTCGTTTGGTTGTAGTACGAGTCTTGGACTCCGCCTATGAGGCGACCGAGGTCATGGAGTACGGCTCTAGATTCCGATGGAACTAAAACATGAATTTGTCGTTGACCCTTCTGAGCCGCAAAAGAATCATGGCATCCGCAAGCGATTGCCTAGCAGCCGCCAAGTATGCATGGAAGCAGGCTGTCTCCTGCTCCCCGTCCGTTGAGTTTGGGCTTGGGTACTCGTAACTTGTATTATTCGATACACAACTTTCGCACATGCATTCTGCCTAAGTAAAGATATTTGAATCTATGGATGGCGACTCAGATTCCAAGAAGCTACCCTTGCAGCCATGTAGAAAGCAAATCTTGGCGTCACGTCATGGCTGGTGCCCAAACACAGGCCGCTGAAATCCGCTGAAGCGCACGGAAGTCGGCAAGTGCCGTCCGTGGACTCGGCCTCAGATGGAGCTGACACAGGCCACAAATGCTTGGCTATCTAGCCACAAAGGCACTGATTGCTTTTTGCTGGCGACATCTGCGCGGGTCTGCCTGTAGTAGTTTCGATGGCAGCAGGGCCGCTCAACCTAGCGGCAAGTTGTAGGAAGTAGGAGAGTTACCTGCGTGCCTCCACATGTCCTGCCCGTGCAATGGACAGAGGAGGGAGAAAGGGTCCCCACGAATTCTGGCTAGAGAATGCTGCCACATCAAGGGTGCAGTAGCAATGCGAAAAACGTGCTTCAATCCTAAGCTAGCGCAAAACAACTTCTATCTCGGAACGGCGCGCCACCTGGCCCAAATAAGAGCGAAGGCGTCATCTACGGTGCAAGAGGTTTAGCCCAAACTGGCTCAGATTCTTGCACATCTATACAGCCAGAGCTCCTGGAAGCCTCAGGCCACGCAAACACAGCGAGCTGCAAGTGTCTCGGTCCTGCAGCGTCTGCTGCTTCTGCATCGAACTTCGAAAAGCTCTTCCTCGCTGTCTTCCCTCTCAATAAAGGTCTTGAGCACCTGTACTTTCTGCTGGTGCTGAGCCGCTTCATCCGCCTTGATTCGCTCCTTCGTTTGTGACGAAGCTACGAATACTTGCATCTTGCAGCCCGATGGTCTTATGATCTTGCTGACAACGCTACTCCTTGCTGGCTTCCGGAATGCCGTTTGGCATATATAGGGTTGTGTCTTATACGCCTCGCAAGACTCATACACGATCCCGGCAAACAAGCGCAAAGCTACGCAACGCTTCGGCATGCTTCGGGTTCGTTGTCTGGTGCGTTGCCGGGAAACATGGGCCTAGACGGTCTTAGGCTTTTGCACATGTGTTGCACACAAAAAACATCCACAGTGTGAGCTTTCGGTCACTTCCATATCTTCTCGGCTCAATCGTCATGCCAGCAATATCATGACAGCCAAGACGGCAAGACACGCAGCAGCCGGCAAGCCAGCTAGCTAGATGTGAATACCGCTTCTTTCTGAAACTGCCTTTTTCGGCACTGTTGTCCGTTGATGTTCTGTCTGACAATGGAAAGAGAGAGGTTGGCAACTAGAGGCTGCTCGAATTGCAGTCGACAACAAAAAGGCTTAGCAGTCGAGGCTCTTCCAGAGAGTCGAGGCTGACATCCTTGCAGAAGCGTGGCTTGCTCCCTTCGTTCAGTCCCGGTGCCTGTGCTCCACCGTTGGCACGTCGGTACGCAGTCTTTTGGAGCAAGTATGCATCCTTCAAGCGTTCCTGGACACGGGACCATTCTTCCCGAGACACCACACACTGGAAGTAGAGCAGCTCTTGTCCATCCAGGGATTGGTAGAAGTTCAAGCTTTCGCCGAGGCGATTCGCGAAGGCTTTCATGTAGCCGGACAGCAGGAAGCGATCACTGCCAACTTCCGCAGGATCGTATCGGGCCCACGTTGTCAATCCCATGCTCTTGCCGGCATCGATTCTCGTGACATCTTCACTGTCATCTTTGCCATCTTCATCTGTGTACACTGGAATCATTGGATTTCCGCGCTTGAAGCTTTGGATGGTGAGAACAACGTAGTATTGCTGATCGAAGGCACGTATCTCGCATATCCCCGGCCGGTTGAGGTAATACTGCGCAACTTTCCTGCCTGATTCGATGGTCCGATGCAGTTGGGCAGTAGCCCAGTTCGTAAGCTTGATCACCTTAGGCACCCGGAAGATGTGGTACAAGTTGAACATCCCCGGCACCCCGGCAGGGCGGCAGAAGTTGATGGCTTCGAAGGGCTCCGACAGGCTGGTGAGGGTCCTGAGCGGCAGAGCAGTGGCAGAGCGCTTCAGTGCTGAGGCGACCGCGACTGAGAGCAGCGGCTGCTGCAGGGATGCTGCGATTGCTTCGGTTGGCAAATTCAAGCGCTTAACAGACCCGAAGCCCAGCCCCAAACACACGCCGCAGTAGCGACAGTGCTTCAGAGCTCTGGAGTCACGGTCCCTTGCATTGGTTCTTCGGATGAAAGCTGCCCTTGATGTGTAAGTCTTGTGAGTGGAGCTCCTGGTAGTTGATCACACAGCCCCTGCCCATCCAGGCGGGGAGAACCACCGCTCAATTCAAGCATGAAGCTCCCATAATACGAACAAGCCCCCCAAATACTAACTCAAGCGCCACGTAACCGGCCAACCGATCAGCAGGCCCCCTGTGAAATGGAGGCCCCAGCCCGCATGGAATGTTAAGAACCCAACGTTTAAAGTTTAAACGTTTAAACGACAAAGGGTTTTGCCAGTCCAAGGCCCTGTGTCGAAGAACAGTCGCCAGCTTGCGGATAGTTGCGCTGAGTGCACATGCGAAGCTCTGCAGCTTCAGCCGGGTTGTAAAAATGGGCCTGCAGAAACTCTGTCCCCATCTCACCGAAGAGCACTGCAAAGAGGCGCAGCACTTTCAAGGATGCCCAACGGCAGACGATGGCATCTCCTGGTGCCTTTGTTGTGAGGAACTGCTCTCATATCTGGCATTGGCCTTGCAACGAACAAGAAAACATACCAAAGAACGCCACAAGCGCAAGCTGCTCCCGCACGGCGAAGTACTCGGGGCTCGTTTTGGCGAAGGTACTCGCCCCCCATGCTCGGGACTCCGGGCGGACGAAGACGCACGACTGGTCTGCCGGGGCGTTTTCCACCTCAACGTCCGGCACCGCAAGCTTCACCAAACTTCCACCCCAAGGACAGGTGCAATGGGAGACGCTGGCCGACTGCGCTTCGGCGATGCTGTTCCAGCCTGCTGGGGAAAGCAAATGAGGAACCAGGTGACACCACTCCTCGACGGTTTCGGGATGCGCTGGCATGACTCGGTCTGAAGAGGACTGTACAGACTGTACAAACAAACAGGATGCCCTATTTGCCGACTCGACTCGGACCATTCGATGCTATAGCAAGAAAGACTAAGAAACTGTTGAAGCCCGACGGCTGGATCCTACATCAATACTCGCAAGCTGCTCTCGGCGCACTTCTAGGCTCCAGTCCCGTGAAGTGTTGCCCTGAGGCGACCACTATAGCGTGCAGCCGATGCGTTCCCCCGTTCCCAAGCCTGCCAAGACATGACACAAAGCTTCAGAGACGCGAGGTTTAGGGCGCAAGGTGCAACAACCTATACAGGAGCTTTGGAGCATGTATTGAGTGTCCCGGTCCGGGCCTGAGATGGTTTGGGCCCTGCGCGCCCCCGAGGCGGCTAGGCTGCTGAAGCGCACGAAAGTCGGGCGACTCTCAGCGCGTTGTGCCACAGCGCTGTCGAGTTGGGCCTGGTTGCGGACCATGCTGGCACCGTCAGTGGATTCTCCGTTCTTGTGTTGGGGCTCAGGTCTTCATGCACATGCAGTTCAAACAATACCCGCAGAGCTGTCCAAACATCCTCAACAGCTATGCATGTCGCGCTCGGCATCGCTACCGACATCCTCGGCCCTGGAGCAACCTGGAAGTTCCTTCCACATCACGCAAAATATTGCACAAACCCAAGCGACGCTTCCATGTCCACTGCATGCCGTTGCGTCAACCTGGGGCGAGTCAGAGCAGCAGGGCGAAATTGCAGAACTCGGAAGCGGAGATCAAGTTGCCATCACGATCCCTGGCGCACGATTCCTGGCCCTGGGCCCTAAACACTGACGGAAAAGCATGCATCGTCCAAGACATCGGTGCGCAGCTGGCAGCTTCTTTGAGCCGGCTTCACTATGGCCCAGGGCACACAAGGCAAAGTTGCATTAGCTGTAACGCTCTTCAAAACAGCCCAGAACCGTGGCACAGCAGTAACGCTCTCAACTTAGTGTCCAGCGTGGCCGCGCAGTAGCGAGGCACCTCCAACGTTCCCGAGAATGTCAGTGTCAAGGCGGCCGCATCCCCAAGCCTGAATCCCAAGACGGAAGCCCGATCCGCGCGAAGGCCAAAGACTCCAAACGCTTCAGATCCGAAAACGCTCGAGGCACGAAAAAACCACAAGACTTAAATTACACTAGCACAAGCGAAAACTGGTGCGTAGTGCTGAACCCTGAAATGTCGAATCTGAAACTGAAAGCATCGATTAGAATCCAAGGCTCACTACTTCCAGGAATCCCTCAGCAAGGTCGACCCCTGACACGCATCTAAGTCTTCTGCAGTTCGGGCCGGTGCCTGCAGTGCCCAGCGTCGGAGAGAGCCGCAGTGCTTTCCCACAGCCCAGTGGCCTTACGACCATTGCACCGATTAAGAAAAGACGCAGTCAGCCCCGGCCCCGCCCCCGCCGCCGAGTGCAAGGCCGAAGGCGCGCTGCAAAGTTTTCCGCTGGGCGAAGGCGGCGGCTGACTGCAGTCGCCGGCGCCTCGTGCTCCGTAGACAGCCGTAGACAGTGCACAAAGCTTACAGGCTACAGCGGCTACAGGCACAGGGTTTGGTCATATCGATAATGGATGCAGGGTTGACTCCGGCGACTCTGGAAGGTGACGGGTTCTATGTTGGGCTGGCTGCCTGGCTAGACTGGCTAGACTCGCACGGTAGGCTAAGCTGAAGGAAAAAACGGATGAATCATGATGGATCTCCGTTGGGGTTCTGAGAGATCACGCGAGTGTTGTGGCACTGTTTGCTTTCCTAGAGTCCTACAGGGGTGCTGGCTCACGGCTCGCTGGCGCTTCTGAGCCGCTTCTGGCGCCTGATGAGACTCCCCGGAAGACCCTTCCCGGTTAACTGGATTGGATGGGACACTGAGCATCCGCGGTGACTCGTATCATCTGCCTACAAGGGCGTTGCATAGCATGCTCTCGTTGCACTGAATACTTTTGCTGGCTGCGTCAGTGCAGATGCACCATGATGCACCAAAATCCGCAAACAAAAAACCGTCCACGGAAGGAATGCGCAGTCCAGCGAATTGCTCCTGTACAAAATGCAGTGTGCACTTGGGCCTTGCCGGCATGACCACGGAGGTCTTCCTCCAACACGTCATGATTTCAGCAGCACACAACGATTGGGCAAGGATTGATGGCCGGACATGGCCGGCCGTACCAGTAAGGTAGCAAGCCGACGACCATTTTCGAAGAGTGCTTCACCTGGCCCAGATAAGAGCGAAGGTGTCACACCTCCCAAAACTCGTGCAAAAAACTGGCACCCAGCGAGGCGTCGCAGCTCGATGCTTGTGAAGCCTCAGGCCACGCCAATGTAGCGAATTGCAATCCGATGCGTCTCCGTCCGGCAGCGTCGGCTGCTTCGCAGAAGCTCCTCCTCGTCACTGTCCTCTTCCCTCTCAATGAAGGTCTTGCGAACCAGTACCTTCTGCTGGGCCTGCATTTCTGCATGTGCCTTGGTTCGCTCCTTGGATGGTCCATCACGATGCAGAATCACGATGCAAGTGATGTTCACAAGATGAGCCTGATGGTTGCTCAGATTTTTTGTACACCGAAGTAACATCAAGACTTAAGCAAGCCATCCCCTAGCTCATAAGCAACCAAGGCTCTGCAAGGGATGCCAAGCAGATTTCTTGGTTGAAGCGTGGCTCGTTTGTCTCGGTCAATCCCGGTGCTTGTGCCCCGCCATTGGCGCGACGGTAGGCCGTCTTCTGCAAGAGATAGGCATCTTTCAAGAAGCCCTGGACACGGGACCAGTCTTCCCGAGCAACTACGCATTGGAAGTACCGCAGCTCTTGTCCGTCCAAGGATTGGTAGAAATTCAAAGGTTCACCAAGAAACTTCGTGAAGACCTTCAAATACTCGGACAATAAGAATCGATCACTTCCAAATTTTGCAGGATCGTAGCGGGCCCAAGTTGTCAACCCCATGCTTCTGCCCGCGTCAATTCTAGTGACACCTTCACTGCCGAATTCGTCACAGGGCACTGGGAGCATGGGGAATCCCCGCTTGAAGCTCTGGATGGTCAGGACAATGTAGCACTGCTGATCAAACGTCCGCATCTGGATCATGCCTGGTCGATTGAGATAGTATCGTGCAGTTCTCCTGACTGCTTCCAGGGCCTTGTCCCAATGCGCAGTCGCCCACTTGGACAGGTTAATGCGGCTGGGAATATGGAAGATCTGATACACATTGACAACCCCCAGTACTGCCTGTGGACGGCAGAAGTTTACGGCTGCGAAGGGCTCCTCCGAAAGGCTTGAGAAGGTCCTGAGCGCGAGAACAGAGACCCCGTCTTCCTCCTACGTTGGAGCTCGAAAACAACCCCGACAGATACTAACAAAACTTTTCTTCCATAATGCGAAGGTCTGCGAAGAGTCGCCAACTTGTGGATAGTTGCGCCGCATGCGCATGCGCATGTCCACATCCACGGCTGCATCCAGCTCGTCCTGGCTACTTTTGCGCTCGTAGAAGAAGTCGGCCTGCAGAAACTCCGTGCCGGTGTCGCCGAGGAGAACTGCCCAGGTGCGCAATGCCTTCCAGCATGCACGTCGGTTCACGATCGCGTCTCCTGGCGCCTTTGCTCGTGGAGGCCATGCACGTCAATTAGCAGAACGTGTCTTTGGATCCAGAAATGCAAAACATGTCGCAAAGTTCCACAAGCCGAGACACAAATTGCTCCTGCACGGCGAAGTGCTCCGCATTCGATTCCGCGAAGGTCCTCACTCCCCACGCACGCGTCTCTGGTCGGACCATGATGCGCGCGGGATCCTTGGGAACATGCTCCACCTGCAGGTCCAGCACCGCGAGCTTCACCAAATTCCCACCCCACGGGCAAGTGCAATGGGAGAGGCTCACTGACGGAGCTTCAGCGATGCTGTGCCAGCCGGCCGAGGAAAGCAAGTGCGGAACCAGGTGCAACCATTCCTCGATGTTTTCCGGACGCGCTGCCATGACTCTCTTGGGTGCCTACGGTCCGGCGAAGCCGACTATACAATCAAAGAATTAGGACTGCTCGGACCGTCAATGTCTCAGCCGTGCACCACAATACAAACAGGCAAACATGACAATCAGCATCACGGGAGTGGAAGGACGCTTATTCATAACGAGTTATTAATCTGTATAAAATAACTAAACCCATGGAATATCCTGGACAATCTCCCCAAGAGTCCTCTCGGACTTGCGAGAATGGCCGAAGGCATTGCCTAAGTCCCGAGCCCCTGGACAGCTCTGCAGGCCCACCTTCGCCAAACTTCTGCCGCCCTGACATCAAACGAACTCACCACAGAGCTCCGCCTTCCATGGACCTCACTGCCACCTTCGAAGACGAGCCCGCAGTGAAATCACCAGCGGCAGTGGCTCTTTGCGGAATGCCCCCCACCACAAGCTCCCGCCAGGCGAACCCTTCACCAGAACGGAGAGCACTGCGGCTGATTGCAGCACTGCGGCGCCACCGGCTCGGAAGCCAATTGAGGCTTCACTGATTCACACGGGTGGAGGCAGCATTCAGCATTCACGATGTCAGCGCCGCTTGAGGAGGTTGGGTTTGGTCTGAGGAGAGATGCAGAGTTGAGGTCCAACCCCCTGCTCCGCATAATCGTATAATGCAAACACAGGATGTCAGGGGCCATGTCCCCAGGCCCAGCAACGATTGGCCCATCGCCAACCTTTAACTGCGATGGAAAGACCTGGGACGCAGAAGATCCAATCTACCTCAGGCCTTAGGAGGTAGTCCGACAGGCAGCTCCGTCGAGCGGCCCGGTTCCTGGACAGTGTCTCCCGAGCGGTGGTGTGATGGACTGCTACCCCAACATGTCATAAACTGTAGGCGAACAGCCAGACACCACAAGCATTGCTACGAGGATGCACTTCAAATCTCCTCGACATGCAACCACTGCGGAAACCCAGGGCGCAGAATGCCAGGCATCCTGAATGAGTCACTGAGGCAGGTGCCAGGCGAGCAGGAAGAGCAATGACAACCTTTCCAAAGAGCGGCACCGGAGACCTGCAGGGACATCAGAGATCGATCTCCAACCCAACAAACGGGGAGAAGCCACTTAAGGCAATCAACATAGAATGAGATTCTGCAACCGCAGCTAAGATGTTGGTCCATGGCTTACTTCAGGATCCTGCCTGTACTCGTTAGTCGGGGGCTTTGCCACCTTCAAGACCCTGCCGGGGCGCCTTCCACACGAGACTCCCGTTCAGCTGCTTGGTCTCTGGCACGGCCTCAGCGAGAGGCCGCAGAATGTCACAGTGATATATACTGACGGTGTAGACGTTGGACCTTTGGAGCTTTAGGCTCTTCAAGCCTCCGTTCTATTTTCTCCTGCGCTGGGGACTTGGAACTGGGCGCGGCCCGGCCAGGAGCGCCAGGAAGCCGCGGAGAAGCATCAGCCGCTGCAGCCGGAGAAGCCCCGCCTGGTGCCAGTCCCAGAGCAGAGAGCAGAACGCTCCCAAAGGGTCCAATGACGCAGCCGCCGACCTTGTGGCGCTGGCTCGTGCTGATGTTTTCGACCAGGACCTGCAAGGGGGCGGATCTCTCTACGGACAGAGCTCGCTTCCACTATAGACCCGACACAATTCTTCCTTTTCCACACACTCAGTGAAACCTGCATTATCACAAAGTGTTGAAGCCTAATCTCCCGAAGCTGAACCTTGGGAAGTGCAAAGGAAAAAACCCTCACCACAAGATCGACATCTGGAGAGTGAACTGCAAGACCCGGCGCGCTGGCAGTGGCCCGACTGGAAGCCAGAGCAAGGGCATCCCCAACACCGAAATCAGCCGCCTAGGCCTAAGGGCCTAGGCCCTGCTGCGAGCCTCCCAAGCTAGGCTTTGCCTCGCCAGGGCCACGTCGCGCTCTCGCGCCGCGATCCGCCCGGGAACGCAGAGCCTTACAGGAAAACAAAGCCTCGAGGGGTGATACAAGAACATCTTAATTAATTACAGGTGGTGTGTACAGCACAAGAGATCGTAGTTGTCAGGATCAGAATCGACGAAGAGTGTTGCAGGCAGAGCCCAGGGCGACTCAGAGTTCCGCACCCGAACAATCGCTCCATTGACAAGTACTGTAAACAGTAAACATGCTCAGCAAATACAATAAGCTCAGCCTGCCGGTGATTCCACACGCGTTTGGCAACATGCCCTAAACCACATAATTCTTGCAGGTCCGGCACACCCCCATATCCTCCGAACCCGAGCTTGCTCTGCACAAAAAGTTCGCTCGTTAATCCGGCTTGAGGCCCAGTGAGACTGACATGATCAGGAGGAATGTGCTGGCCCGCTTCGCGGTGCTTAAAGCGCTCTGGGCAGGGACCTGTTCTAAAGCAGTAACAACCTACCGTCTTGAGAGCAAAGTCCAAGCCACAACGACCGGCTGGAGCTGTCTGCCCAAAGTAGCAAAATTTACACAGGTTCCTGATCTGATGTGTCAGATGTCACGGTCCAACTGCGCCAATTGCCTGCAAGTTGAGACACTGCCTTCAGGGCCCGTACAGGAAAGGAGCCATGCCAGGTTTTGGCAGGTGCCGGCAGCGGCAGCTGTTCCGCTTGGCCCCGGCAAACAAGCAAGAAAAGAAAAGAACCGTACTAGACCCAGGCCCTGGGTTGGCTCTGCCTTTCCATGCCTTCTAAGATGCTTTCAGGTCTCAGGCCTGGTAGGCTCCGACTTCCTGCTTTAAAGTTTTGAGCCCACGGGCAGTCGCTCCAAAGGGTCTCTGTTCATTTGGCTCACTGCTGGTTCGCAGTGGCATAGCATGCAAGTGAAGCGAAAAAACGATCAGCACCGGTCGCATGCTCAATAGGAACCTTTGACACACATGTGCCGCATGCGGAGTATGTGGGTAGAGCATCGCACCCAGCTGCATCAAACATATCAAACCACTCTACCATCTGCACCAGTGAACCGCCATGCTAAATGCCCATGCCAGTTCCAAGACCTCGCCGCGTCCTTGTTCAAAGTTATGCGCCGTGCAGCCAAGAGGTATTTGTCGACGTTCTCCGTACCGCAAGCCGTGCACTGCGTCAGTTGGCCTTCGTCGCCGACTCCAGGCTCGCGCTGCCTTCTTCCAGCGTATATGGCAGCATTTTCGTCCATACGATTCCATACGTCAGGTGTTCTGTGAAGCCTGGCCGATCGAATCGATCCGCTGATTGTCCTGGCATGACGAACTGCATGCCTTGACCACTGCATCTGAAAGTTGCCACGCACACAGTGCCTTCCTTGTGGATCGCTCGCATGGATCACTGCACGACCCATGGCGGGAAAACCATGTGCGGCATCCAGTGCTTCGTCCAGTCAGTGCCTGCTCACACCACCGAGTACGCAGCCTCGTTGTCACCCACCGTCGTCTGCGGCACTGCGAAAACCTGCGATAGAGTGGAGAAAGTCTTGGGATGAGATCGCATGAAGCGTAACTCTCCTGAATAGCTCCGTTGATGCAATCTCCAAGGTTAGCAAAGCCTCGAGTCCTTCAAGAAGCGGGCTGATTCAAGGCGAGCATCGGGCGACTCTGCAGTCGATGGAGTCTGACTCTGATGACGACAGCCTCATGCGACTCAAACCTCTGCCTCTGCTCACGGCTTCGCGGACACTCCGTCTTCTACACACCACATCACACCCTAGGCCCTAGTTACCAGCGAAGCCTGGCCATTGCTTTCCGCAAATGCTGCCGAAAGGCGAGGACTCGCTCAGGTCGCTGAGCTCGCTCACGTAACGCAGGTCCTTTGGATGCGGAAAGCATGCAGCACTGATGAGCAGAGGCTAAGGGATAACAGTTCTTTCAGCTTGCAAAGCATCTAAGATCATCTGACGCTGGTTTCGCTGAGCCATTACATGCATCTACGATCTACACATTTGCAAACATCTGTGCACCCCTTGGCCGGTGCAAGGCTCGAAACCAACTGCTCGCTCCATCCCCGAACTCGGAACAGAATGCATGGTGCAGAGCGCTGACCAAGTCAGATTTTGCATGATTGAGCTCTGATGCCGTATACAAATTAATCTTGATACCAGACTCTTACTGACACCTTGACAAAGGTCCAAAGCCCCAATCGACGCACCCGGGCCCTGCAAGCCATGAACGACTGGAATCTCTGTCACGCCTAAAGTCTCAAGGGCCATTTGCCAAGAGGGACCTTGCTAGCCTGCAACATGTACACAAAGCCTACCAGGAGGCACCAAGGTCACATAAGGATCCAAAACCAAGTGCAGAATGTCACCCAAAACAGCCCCAAAGAACTGGCTTCGTCAAGGGACAGTCTCAAGTGTAGTTTGCCAACCTGAATGTGTTCTCGACTTGGCCCCGAATGCTCCAACATGCTCCAACGCCAAGCTGAATCTGTTCTCGACTTGGCTCTGGAAGTCTAAATACTGAGGTATAGAGCTAAAGTAAGCAAACCCAACCCCCAAGCCTGCTTCCGTATCAACAAACCCTCAAGCCTTTCGTCTAGGTCCTCAAGTATGCCGATTGCAACGCTGACAGCGACATAAACTGACATCTCCCGGAGCCGGGCCGCGACGCTCTTCGCAGCGCGCAGCGTCACACGCTTGGCAGCACTGAGGAGGCCCAGGCCGGCGAGGCGCCTCCAAGACCATCCCCCCCTGGCCCCTCCAATCGGCGTATGTGTATGCAGCGGTATGCAGTTACCTACCATGGTATATATTACTCTATGTATCAACTAATTCATACGAACCTATGCAGAGCGTGCGCAGCTTCATGCTTGCGCAGAGCCACTCATGCCCGCGAGCATGCCTCTTCAGAAGACCCCGTTGGCCGAAAATGACCTCGGTCGAAGCGGAAAGTGCATAGCTGCCTTGAGTGTGCCCAGACTGCCGACTAAACCTGTCTCCTTTCGCAAAGACGGGATCCCCACATACTGCAGCTGCTCATCGAAGGTCTGGATGTCTGGAATCTTGCTTAAAACCATCTCCTGGCAACGTGCGCAGCATTCTTGCGATTGCGAATGTCGTGCAACAATCAAGGTCTTTAGTTCGCAAAAGTGCGCACCTTGTCTTCCGCGCGTGAGGCCTTGCAGTTCTGAACTGTAAGCGTCGTCAGCAATGTGTACACGTGCTGCTCCTCCTCCTCAATGTCCTCAATAACCAACTCACAATAACTCACACAGTGAACCCGTCTGTGCTGGCACTACTGGCAGTGCCACTTCTCTTCATGACGTGAAGCTTAACACTTCAACATCCTGGTGCCGGCTACTGACGAAAGAATTTCGCTAGAAATCTGACGACGCAAAGCAAGCCCCTGGCCCTGTACTGCCTCCGGTTCTCGCCCCATCTTGGGCAAAGTTAGCTGACTCGTCTTGTGTTCACACCTGGCCTGCGAACCATGCTGCTGTCTGTGCTGAGTTAACTCACGCCAACACCAGCCAGATCTTGAAAACAAAACGGTTGTTCTTCCGAGCTTCCAGAAACTTATCGCTATGAAGGAGGACGCGCTGTGGAATGTGGCAATAGAAAGCACGCACCAATTCTGCCACGCACCATGCCCTGGCTGGGGCCAAGGGCTTCGGGGTGGTAGGGGCCTCTGATTCGCGTTTGTCTTGGGACCTAACGCAAGATTTTTGCTCTGTTGAATGCAACATGATAATTAATATTCCATGATGTATGCACGGCGCTGCTGCCTCTCGAACACCTCATATTTGGTGTCGACGCTCACGACCTGTGCAAACTCGGGAACCGTTCTGTAAAGAAAGTCGATCACGTCGTCGAACTTGTTCAATTCGCACATCTCCTTCGCATCGTTGAGGTACTTCGGGTGCTTGCAATCGCACAGCGGATATGGCAAGCCGGTGACAGAATCTCGTCGCTTCAGATCCCACTCCTGAGGGGTGTACTTTGTACTCCATGCACGAGCCCCGTTGAACCCTCCATCTGGACCTTTCCACCGTTGTTTGAACTCCAATGCCAGGCCTCATACATCCGCGGATCTGCTGGTGGTGGGCCGAATCCGTTGCAAATGGAGGCATGCTGGTTCACACAAAAGGCACCTGGGCTGCATAGTAGCAGTTAACAGTTAGCAGCAAACCTTGGCCGGACTCACTATGCTGTATTAGGTGATGACACTTCCATCGGTATTGGCCTGTGTTGAGGGTTCCGTGCTCTTGCAAAACAGAGGAATCCTGTGAAGGGGCGAGGCACAAATCCAATATCTCACTTCTTCGGCTCCGGCTGCATGCAAGCGGTTCTGCACCTGCGAAGGGCCGCCAAGTTCTGACCACCGCGCTTCCGGACCACATTGTTGCGAAACCAGGTTTCTCAGCAAGATTTGTTGCTTTGTTGGGCCTTTGGCTTCTCTGTCTGACGGTTTGGCGCAATGCATGTGGCCCAACTGCGGCTTCCTCCGCACGGCTTTAAGGAGTTCTGGCTTGCCTCTGCTCCCCGCCTCTTGCAACTGCCCACTGGCCAACGAGTCTGCCATCTCCTGCAAAGGCACACTGAGCACATGGGAAAGGAACCCTCCATGCCATATGCCATCAGCCAAAACACTGCAAAGTGCTGACTCCAAAGGCCTACGCCCGCTACGCCCGGCCTTGTACTCCCCTTCGTCGAGTGCATCTGAAACGACCGAAGCAACCTCAAAGACTACAATTCGCACCACTGCACTGGGCAGAAGGCGACGGGTGGCATATAAGTGCTTAGACGGGTTGTGCGGTTTGGGCTAGACGGCAAAAAGACTCAAACAGTAAACGCTCCGGCAGAGACAAGCCTGTTCAATTGGGGCAGAGAGGGAGAGCGTTTGCAACGGCAAGCAACGAAGGCGTCACCTGTCCCAGAACACGCTCTGCTTCGACAGGGACTTCGAAACCAAGCACATCTCCCAGAAGCTGGCTTGGCTTGGTGCTTCTGATGTTGTAGTCTGTTAAATCATCGGCTGCTTT